TATTTCTGCAATTGCGAAAGATCTATTGACACCTCCGATTAGCACTATTGTTTCAAAGTCTGCTTTTAGTGCAGGTAAAAAGATTTTGACCGATGTCAAGAGCCGACTGAAAGAAGATGTTTTGGAAGCGTTAATGTGTGTAAAGGATTGGCAGGACGCTCATTTTTAACTCCAAGATAAATAAGCTGAAATTACATGTCGTCAGGTAAGTGATATTTGATTTAATTATATTAATAAAAAATTTTTATTTTTTAATCGTTAAATTTAATTTTCTTTAAAAAATTGTACACGTTACAACAAGTTGTTCGTGTATAATTTTTAATTCCGCCAACTTAAAATTGATGTAGCAGGTCCCAAACCCGGATAAAGAAGGAGGGTTTACATTTTATTAACTTTAAAAAGAAATAAAAAAATATATTTTTTTTGTAAATGTATTTCAAAAAATAATTCGTTTTCATTATATAAATATTTTATAGTTTATAAAAAGTATTACAAATTACAATATGATATAAATAAAAAATAAATAAAAACTTGTTTTCATTAAATTATTTGTATTTTTTAACACTTTTTATTTTTAAAACTCTATTCTTTATTAACTTTAAAAAGAAATCAAAAAAATATATTTTCTGTAAATGTATTTCAAAAAATAATTCATTTTCATTAAACAAATATTTTATACTTTACAAAAAGTATTACAAATTACAATATCACTTGTTTTTGTTAAATTATTTGTATTTTTTAACACTTTTTATTTTTTAAACTCTATTCTTTATTAAAAAAAAATAGGCGAGCCCACGAGATGAAGCTCGGCTTGGCCCACGAGCTCGGACGAGCCACGAGCTTGTGGGCCGAGTCGAGCTCGCCCAATTTCAACGAGCCAGCTCAGCTCGGTCCATTGACAACCCTACTTACTCACGGCCACACACCTCGGCCTAGGATAACAGGCCCTCTCATCAGGCTCCAATAATATCAATTCTACACTATCAGGTATCCTATATTCAGCCCTAAGTCTACCCAGATCGACCTCCTTCAATTTCGAAGGATAATATGAAGCTCCCCAGTGTTCTGATGTATCTACCGGGCTGTCAGGCCTTCTCCAAATATTCTCCCCCAATATAGCCTCGACGACCTCGCTGGGCGTCACCAAAACAGGCTCATCCACCCTCACCATCTCTAAATCCCTTCCCGAAGCCCCACTACCATCCGAAGCCATTGCAGAATAGAGAAATGTGAAAAAACTTGGGAAAATACTTACTAAAACTCAAGAAACTGAGGGACCTACAGCCAGAAAAGATCAACACCCAATGTGATATCACCGAAAACTAGAAATGTCGCCGGAAAACGCTTGTACAATGTTGGAAAACGCAAGAACCTTGAGAGGAAATGGATTTTCTGATTTCGCAAAAGTGAAAAATTCTCAAAATGCTCAAGTCCGCATTTTATAGAGCGTCCTAACTGATCTCCACCATTGAATTCAAACGCAATCAATCTAGGCCGTCCATCGCATCATAAATCTGAGCCATTGATATGAAACGCCAAATTTGATCTACGACCAAGATCAAGCTGTGACCATCACACTCGCATAAAACGCGTCGCCTCGATCACCATTAGCCGTCTACAATAAGTAGCCGCAACAGCCTTTTCTGGGAATGGGCATCGCACCCAACTGTCACCTTTGAAATACACGACAGGTGTCAAATCATTTGACGTCAGAAATGTTTGCCTCAGATCGAAATCCTCAGCTTTACAAAGTTTAGACACACCTGACGCGAAGTCCCCTGTGGGTCATCGTCTCGATAGCTGTGTTCCCTCCTAAGTTTTACAAAACTTTAGTCATCTCCCAACGCGTCGTCCCCTGTGGGTCAGCGCACCGGTGGTAGATGAGCTCCTCACTCAGCTTTACAAAAATTAGACGCACGTGACGCGGAGTCCCCTATGGGTCATCATCTTGGTAACTGCGTTCCTCCTAAACTTTACAAAGCTTTAGCCATCTCCCGCATCGATCGCAGATGAGCTCCTCACTCAACTTACAAAGCTTAGACGCTTCAGACACGGAGTCCTCTGTGTGTCACCGCATCGGTCATGCATTCCCTTCTAAGCTTACAAAACTTTAGCCGTCTCCTAACGCGTCGTCCATGTGGGTCAGCGCATCGGTGGCGGGTGAGCTCCTTCCTCAAGCAGCACCGAAGCTTTAGTGCCTCAATCGAAGACGTGTCCAGACCTTCAGCTTCACAAGCTTCATATCTCCCACGCGTCGTCTCTGTAGATCATCGCCTCGGTCAAATATGTATCCCGATCCTAAGCTTCACAAGGCATTGTCCTTTTCCCAACGCCATCTCTTCTGTGAACACAAAAAATCAATCCACAACCTTTCGGGCTATCTACACACTTCGTCCTTCCACGCCAGTTCTTTATCACAAACCTAGGCAGGCATACTCGATTGGGAAAACAAATCCGCCCACGATATAAATATTCATACCTGAACTTGGAGGGACCACTATTACACCCCTATCTGAACCACTTTGAAAAGTCTACCACTGCATCATACGAGGTGTCCACCACCAATCTGAAGTGGTTCCGAAGTGACTCCACCACCAATGTCCGCCCACTGCTAACGCGTTGCGAGGCACAAAACAATTCTATTGAACCGACCGAAATGCCCTTGATGCCGAAGTGCAATGCACTTCGAGGTTCTCCTTCACCGGATCCGCCGCCACTTTCAGAAAGAAATCTGTGTCAAGATCCTCTCTGCCCCTAAGGATTAATTGATTTGACGTCTCCAAGGGTCTAGTTGATGTGACGTATCAACTTTATGTCAACTCAACTCAAGAGAAGTTATTACCTGCCCACTCTATAGACGCGGCTAATTGACGCCTATGAGCAGATGCCTCACACCGTCAGTGCATACACAGGTCTCACATCCAACGGTTCTCCTCACCTATAAATACCCAAGGTTTGACAAGAGGCAAAAGTAATGAAACTCTTGCAACTTAGCTCTCCATAACAAGAAAATATATATTCTCCTCCCCACTCTCTTACACAACTAGGGCACTGTTCCGATCACCGGATACTAACTTGACCATCAGAGTATATGCGGTCGCCGCCACCCCCGCTGGTTCCGACCGTGTGCTTCTGACCATGCGTTAATTGTGCACAGGGAGGATCACGTGGAATAGCTATCGGTTAGCCACGTGGAAGGTCCAATTTGTGAGGTCAATAATTTATATGTAATATTATTTTATGGAATATTGTATGGTTAAAAATAGGAGAGGGGAAAATGGAATGTAATATAATGAAATTTAATGGGGGCCAAACGGGGTTTTGATAAAAATAAATAAATAAAATAATATTGTATTAGCCCTGTGACACTAGGGTAACGTTGACTATGGTGAGTGCTTATGTAGTTCGATACAAATTATTTCAGTACTGGTTAAAAAAGAAAAAGGAAATTCTCACGAGGTAAACCAAGTTTATGATTGGGCACAATAAAAACAAAATAAATAAATAAATATGTCTCCATCCAAATGTACTGGAATTTCCCGAGCACACGCTCAAGCAATTTATTAAAAATTAATCAAAAAATTAAATGATATTTCAGAGGTGCCCACAGAATGTACCAAAGCTAGGTACTAACAAAAAATTAATTAAAAAATAAAATTATAATTCCAACATGTTCAGTGCTCGTCAGAATGCAAATTAAAAATAAAATAAAACGATATTTCGACAATTTACTGTGTGTTGGAAATAACTTATAAAAAATTAATCATAATAATAAAATGCATATTACATGAGGCCAAAATAATGTGCTTATAGCACCTTTCAATAAAGAGAAGCTCAATAGGACTGTTCTCCATGCACCATGTGGTAGAACTGCCTGATTGATCCCAAATCATTAACAATGCATCATCTCGACATTGTACACCCACCTTTTTTCTCTTTCTTACCATCTCAAACATCTAGTTGTCATGACTTTAGTGGTTCAAAGTCTTAAGTATCATGATTTTAAGTATGTAGTTCTCTCACATGTGCATATAGGATCGTCACTCTTTGTGCACATATAGGTCCAAGCCTCTTCTTAAGCATCCCCAAACTCAACTTAGCTAAAATATTTCAGTTTCATGAATCCGTATTTGTAGACAATGGCAATGGCGGATAAAACACCTGATGAATAGTTACGATCGTGCATGCTGGATCCTTTGGGAGCTTTTTTTTTTTTTTTTTTTTTTTTTTTGGTGAAAAAAAAAATGGATAATATATCTAGTAATTCATTTTGTTTTCAAACATTTGTTATAGCTCAATTGGTTAGAGCATCCATTTTAAAATTTGAAGCCCTAAGATTGAATCTCTAACAAAGTAATTTATTGTGCAATTATTCTAGTTCAACATTTTTTACAAAAACTAATGTAATAGGAAGGATTTGAATTTCGAACCTGCGTGCCCTCTTTTAGATTATGGAAACTTGATAAATTTTGACACTAAATATAACAAAATATTATATGTTCAATTTTAGCAATTTTAATGCAATTGAAAATATTCGAACAAGTACTCTTCTTTTGAATTATGCAAAACTTGACCACTACATCATTTAGTGAATATTTATAATAAATATAACAAAATTTATATGTTTAGTTTTAGTAAATTAATTGATATGTATAATTTTTAATATTTTATTACGATCGACGATCAACGGTCAATCACTGCCTGTGCTCACTCAAGATCATAGATCCGCCACTCTATGCAGGCATCAAATTCCACACCACAAGTTCAACAAGCACATATAACGTTAATACTACCCCTTTTCTCTGAAGCTTTTTTTAAGCAAAAAAAGATGGTTGTACTTTTAATAAATCAAATTTTATATAATTACATCAAGACCATGCTATTATTTGGAAGTTTCAATATATATATGTGTGTGTGTGTGTGTGTGTGTGTGAAAACAAATCAACCTTTGACACCATAATCAATTTCAGCAGCCAGCGCCGATATATATGTAAAATCCAAAAACCGAAATATAATCAATCTCTACTTCTACGAGATGTCAACAAATAGGCAAACTTACGTTCATTGTGGACCTTATGATTCTACATCTTGAACCTTTTGAATTCCTATCCAACGAGCATAGTCGACCCACCTGCAAAACCATTCAAAAAGAGTATATTTTGTCGTGCAATGATGACAAAGATGGAATAAGAAGAATGTAGAGAAAAGGTGAAGAATCTCACAGTAATGAACCCAAAAATGTGTTGCCAGTTCTCACAGCAAAGCAAATTGCACTCAAGAATAACTTGTGTTCGTGCAGCAAAGGCTCTAAAATTCGTTGCTCAATGACACCAGCCAACACTTGGTATCTGTTGGAGGAGAAAAAAAATCAGCAGATGATTGTGGTTAAAAACCCAAAAAAAAAAAAAAAATGAAGTGATATTAATCCAATTGACATACCGAAGATTGCTGGATACTGCCATATAGACACCATATGCAACACTTGTTGATAGTACAGGAACATTTTCCACCCCGCCTGCGGCTGAGTGATCCGCAGCCTTTCGAGCATTTATGAGTGTATTTGTTACAATCGTGCCCACCTAGACATGAATGAAATAATTCATGTTCCTTAGCTTTGAATCAATTATTTATTCAGCTTTAATTGTAATAAATAAGAATAATCATGAAAAACAAACTATATACCTCCTTCATGCAGAGATAATTGATGTAAGTAAACCAAAAGTCAAAAAGAAGACAATTGGTAAAAGAACATGGTGAAACTATAAGCTGATAAAAGAACATTGTAAAAGTAAAATTACTGGCATGTTTTGCAAGGCTGATTAGACATTACCAAACAGTGCCAAATACTTGGTGGAAGGAAAAATGTGTATATTTTACTTATAATATGATCTAAAACTAGGTACCAAGCATGCAAGTACATGGTTTATTTATCACGAATAATGAATATGAACGTTTAAACAAACCAGGTCCTTGTTGTTTGTTTTGCATTATAATTAATCTAATCATTGAGCAACTAAAAACCTAATTTGCACTCGGGGTTATTTCCTAATCAATAGCCACACTAAAAATCAGGACTGGATTTCTGAAATGAGAAGACAGCAATATTTTTAGCAAGATAATTTAGGTTTGTGAGGGAAAATGGTATAGCCACCATTTTATTGATTGACTGAGTTCTTACTCAAACTTCCAAATGAGTTGTTTCAAATGTACATAACTATTTTCAAAAATCATGTCTGAGAGACAATCTAGATGATAGAACTGAGTACTTTTGTATGCTTCGCCAGCCAAAGAGAGAAGAAAAAATGTGTAGGATAGTATGCTTTTTTAGCACTCATAACAAAGAAAAGACACACTTGTCTAGAAGATCATGAATCATGACTTTAAATAAATTTACAAGAACATAACAATTAGCATGTTTGGCCAAGTTTAATTTTAAGTAAGCCCTGTTTGGTGTAGCAAATTTTTAGTAGATTTTGATAAAAAGTTGAGAAAAGATGTGGGTACCATGAAATAAGTGGTTAAAATTAATTAATCTTTGACTTGGATTCCAACCAAATATATAAGCTAAACGAAACAGGGGCTAAATAAGTTTGTTTTAAAATGAATAATTTTTTTTCCGGTCACTTATCTTGATTGTAAGGAAGAGTTTTTTCCAAAAGAAGTATCTTCTTTTTACTTAAAAATAAGGAAAAAGTATCATATCTGAACATGTTTGCAAAGAAGTCATAATCCATGATGGACTGCAAAACTGAAACTCTAATTATGTCAAATCTCCCAAAGAAAAAAAATTTACCAAAGATGAAGTGGTCCCAACAGCAAATAGCTTTGCCCCATTGCGCTGTGAAGAAGTCATCGAAATATGAGATTCACAGTCAAGCTTTCACTTGGGAAGGTTTTTCAAACGCAAAGTATGAGACATTTCCTTACCACTATTGCACCCAATCTCTGCAACAACGAATAGGAGATACCGGGCAAAGCAACCTACAAAAAATATATAAAAATATCTTGCTCTTAGTTCAAATTGTATACCAATAAAGGGAGTGTTTTAAGTAAAATTTTAACAAATGAAAGGAAAACCCATTACCTGAAATGCATTATCTGGACAGTTGTGAAAGAACTTGGCGATTCTTCCAGCATTCACTGCAATAGGAGGTCGGAGAGAAACAGTAGGAGCCGGAAGGTAAACAAGCATAAAATCTGCAATTATAGCCATCACCTGAGCAGAAGACAAACTGTAGATGTAAGGATAAGAAATAGGATTAAACTTTTGCAACCAATCTACATTCATTTGGAGCCCCAAAAAATTGTAAAAGAAAAAGAGAAATATTGACATTAAAAAGCATTATCATATATAAATAAATAAATCATTCATCCTGCCGATAGAAGCAAAAACAAATGCCAGATTGCGTTGAAAGCGAAGGGAAATGAAAAATCGAATATAGGTATTAATGACAAAACGCAACCATACCACATCAGCAAAAACAATTTCTAGCTCATTGAAAAAGTTCTCTTTGCGACGCTCATATTCTGCAGCAGTCTGGAAAAAATAAAATCATTAAATTACTAGTCACCCAATATAACAATATAAAACCATAATAGCTTGGAATCAGAAAATTTAGGAGCGTTACGTAACCATAAAGGTGAATAAGATGTATAATTTTAATCTATAGAACATATCAAAATTGCCAACGAAAATGCTCTACTGTTAAAAACGAGCAGTTTTTCAGTTTCTTTTAATTCCTCAAAAGTTGGATACAACAAACCGTCTTGCAGACCAACTTTAATTTATTCTTACCTCTTGCACTAAAATGTAGTACCAACTTGATGATTATGAATATATAAGGAGCAAAATAGGCTTGATTACGATGAGTCACAAAATGGTTTCATACCCACTTTCTACAAGTGCACTGAGCAGTTTGAGACTTGTATAGCATGGAGACTGGAGAGTGTAAAATAAGGGAACATACACAACAATGTCAAGAAGACTGAAAATCTCAGAGAAAGTCATTCTCATTTCAAACGAGGAGCATCTATTGATATCGACCAAGATCAAGACTAGTGCATTTCCAAATATAGCCCTTGTTTGAGCCCCATTCTTTGGGGGAAAAAAATGCATTCTTCAACGGTGTTTTGACATCATTTCAACCATACATTTTTCAATAAAATAATATTATACGAAAATTCAAAACTTTTCCTTATTTTTTAACCACACATTTCACATCAATACACTATTCAAAAATGTATTTTTATGACAAAAATGAGGATCAAACAAGGGCATAAAATTCTCCCCTTTGAGGAAAATGGATGCAGACGATGAACTGTAATTGCGTTTTAAGTGATTATCACTGGAAGAAACAATAATGGGCAATAATGTGCATGCAGAATCAATATATGACATTGTTTGCCGGGAATGTATGTCTAGCCACTCTCACAAATTATTTTTCCTTTTAACAAAGAAACGCAAAGCTGTGTTCAAATTAGTGGCAACCCTGATGAACAGTGGAAATATCTGTTACCAATGTGTGCTGTAAGATAGTATCTTCTGTTTTTTTAAATGAACACCCTACTCAAAGTTTACAAAAACCACAAGGAACAGGGTAGCATATCTACTTCGTAAAAGAAGAGCTTTTCGAGAAGGAGAAGAGCATCATAGGAATGAGAAAGATACAGAGTAAAAACGTGGAAAAAGAACTTCCACGAGCATGTGTTCTTTCAAGTTTTCATGATCCATTCATTTTGTATTGAATCTATAATTAATAAGGCATTAAGTTTCTTCTTCCTCTTTTCATTTATTATTATTATTATTATTTTTATTTTTTTTTGTGTCTGTGTGTAAATATCTTCAATTCATCTTTAACAACAATATTTGTAAGATTTAAGAACAATGTAACCTCCCGGAATCTTGAGAAACATGCAGAACTATTGAGAATCAGTTATTTATCACAGGTGCATTCCATTTTATATAATTATTACTTTACAAAAATACTCATAAATTTACTAGAAATCCAAATGAAAAAAATATGATACATTTTTCAAATTATCACATTTTTTATTTACTACTTTGTCAAGCTAAATATGCCAAAGCTTCTTCTAGGCATATTATCAAAAGAGAGAGTCTACATGTACAGAAAATGGGTTTACGGAACTTCTACAGAATACACATGACATGGGGGTTGGGTGGTTTTTTTGGACAATATATTAAACTCGTGGAGCCCACCCCGTGTGAGCATCCGTAGCAATTCTGTGAATCCATTTGCTGTAAAAATGGCTTAATACTTCATCAAAATCTACCTCCTAAAACTGACACTACTGAACATAATCTATGGCTCCTCCACTGACAATTAATCGACCAAAATATAAAAAAGGCACAATTTAAAACTAAGAAATCATAGTTATTAGAGCTGAAAATTGTCTATAAAATATAATTTGTCGAATAACCAGATCACTGTATAACCTTTGTTGGATAAGGTATAACTCATAAATAAAATCACTCAGAGAAAAAAGATTCAATTTTTATACAAATTCATAATAATGAAGAATTTATTCAATCAATTGAATTGAATTACCTTGGTGAAAACTCCAACACCACACTCCATGGCAACTTTAGCCAAGAAGAGATCATCAGCCAACAACCGCTCCTTGAATCCACCAAATTTCATCAACCAAGAAATCAAACCAGATTTTTCAAGTTCGAAGTATCGAATCACGATGGATCCAGGAATTCTACCGTCTTCTACGGCGGCCTTCAAGTCCTTGGGCAAGTTCTCCAGACCCTTCCCGACCTCTGCCAACGCTATCAGAGCTTCATCTCTATTCTTCTTCTTGTTACTATCATCATTCCAGTTATTTCCATTCTCATCTCCACCTCCACCGCCACCTCCGCTATTGCTGCCTCCTACGATTCCTCCATTTCCGCCGCCGCTAGAGATGTCGGTGATAATGTCGGCGTTAGTGACAGATGAATTGGTGGAAAATGGTAAAAATGCGGCACGCTGGCGTGTGGGGGTTATGGTTATTGAGATTGAAAGGAGAGGGGTTTTGGTGGTGGGGAGGGGAAATGGTATAGCGGAGGAGGAAGCGCGGTGGTGGTGGTGGTGGTGGTGGTGGTGGAGAGAGAGAAAGCGCAGCGGTGGTGCGGTGGTGTTAATGGTGGCAGAGATCGGCATTGTGATGGTGCGGTGATTCACGCCTCTCTTCCTCTGATTCTTTTGTTTATTTGTTGAGTATAGGCAGTCTTTTTCCTAAACAGTTTTGGAGGTTGGTGAGTGAATGGGTAGTTATGGACTATTTGGTCTAAAAACTCAAATTATTTAAAATATTTATTCTAATTTTAATATTTTGGTCAAAGGCTACTTTTCCAAACAGGCTTTGTATATCGGCAATTCTACCCAATTTCCACTTAGAATTATTCAATAATTAGTTTTGTGCCTCCACAAGGTTTATCAATTTTTCCATGAATTATTTCATCAACTTTTATCAAAATTTATTAAAAGTTTAATTTTTATCCTAACGAAACAGGAGCTTAATCATTTTAACTTTTAAAATAAAAAAGGAGTAAATTCCTTCGTTCCCCAATCATAGTCCAATCGTCCATGTTCAACTGCAACATTGTACATAGAATTGTTTGATTTTGTACCCGAAAATATACGTTAAAGACACGAGTCAATTGGAATTTTCATACCGTCAACACTTAGGGATGGTAATGAAGCAAAAATGGCACTCCCTTTTTACCACATCAAGGATTTTAAGGATACGAGATAGGCTCGGAACATGTGAGTGGGATATTTTGCTATCTCTAATCTAAGTCCTTATTTGAGCTCCATTTTTTCATCAAAATATATTTTTCAACACTGATTTGACCTCATTTCAATCGCATATTTATCAATAAAACAATATTACACGTAAAATCAAAATCTTTTCTTATATTTTAACCACACATTCTCTATTATAATGTTGTAAAAAGGAAAGTTCATTAGGGTTTATTGGTGAATATGACAATTATACCACTGTAGCCTTAGACATTATTACCGTTGTATCCCTAATTCTACCCTATAAATAGATGGCTTTGGTTCTTAATAAAACACACAAGTCTGTTGACTTCTCCTTATTTTATTCTCTTTTCTCTCTTTTTATAACACGTTATCAGCACGATAGTTTAATTTTTCAAAGTTTAGTGAAAGTTATAATTCTTATAGGCATGAATATTTATCACGTGTACCAAAATTAATTTGGTAGCATGTGAACTATTTTAATATACATATGCATCATAACGAGGTTGCTTATTCTTCTCTACTTTTCATCGGCATGCATATTAATTCTAATTCACGTTTGTATGTGTAATCTGAACACATATTAATTCACGTTTTTTTATTCATACACGATTATTTTTTTCACTTATTATTCAGTATTAATTCTATCTTTTGAATCCGTTACATATTAGGTCTATCTTTAACTTCTATATATGTGAAATTCATATACATGTTTAGTATATTTTGAATGTTGGTAAAAGATTTAGCCAATAAATGATTTAGCCAATTTTGTTAACTTTTTATACATGGAGATTCTTTTTCTTAATGTATGTTTGGTAATTATTTTTTCTATATAAATTCACATCATGTCTACATGATAATTAAATATTTTTAGATATTATTTTACGGACTTCAAATTAAAACCAAAAGTAGTACAATATTATAATTAATATTCCAGAAGAATATTAATTGTATATCTATCCATTATAAATATTTATTGTTGCTCTTAAAGTATCACAACATTGACATATTGGTCATGAAGAATATTTTGTTATTCCTGAAGAATCCAAAATTCGTTGTTATTAAATTTCATATGATGGTTTACTCTCTCTCAAAGAGCGGATTTTAAAAAATTCAATTTATTTCCTGATTTGAGAAATTTCTTAGATCGATATCATAGATGAGTATCTTGTTGTTGCTCCTGAAATAGCACAACATTACATGAACAATATATTTTTTAATATCTCAGAAGAATATTAATCATAAATATTTTTATTACAAATATTTTGTTATTGCTCCTGAATTAGCACAACATTATTATTAATATTACAGAAGAATATTATATTTATTGCCCCTGAAGAGCAGATCTTCATACAAATAAATATCTTATAATGATAACATACTCCTATAGAGTTAATATTTTTAAACAAGAGTTTGTTGGTACTCCTGAAGTAGCACGACATTGTTAATATTCTAAAAGAATATTAATTGCTCCAGAAAAGCATGATATTACAATTTCAATATTCCAGAAGAATATTGACTCAATGTTTCTACAAAAGTATAACTTAAATTATATTTATTTTAAATGAATATAGTGTTGATATTCTCGAAAAAACACAACCCACGTTATAAAAATATTCCAAAAGAATATTAATTGCTCCAGAAGAATATGATTTTACGAATAGACGAATTCATCCAAATTATGTGCTTGACTATTCCCAAGATATGTGACCACCACGTGTGCAATTCTCCTTCGTGGTTAATGATTGATATCCAAGGTTTCAGCCACCCAAATTTATCATCAATTCCTTATTATACCATTTTTGGAGGTTCTGAGGCAATGCTATCTTCGTAAGTTTGCAATTTATCTTCATATTCGATAGAAGGTAATATTAATTTTATACGTATATGTATGCATAATTATGTCACCGTATCTAGTTAAATTTCGGTGACAAATTTTAAGTTTATATTAAACAAAGTGGGCACTTAATTATTGCGGTTTGTGATTGTATAAGTACCATATATTAAATTAGGTTCATCGCTAAATGTCCATTACTATTGTTTATCGTTTGATTAATTATCTCGTTCTTACCCTTATAATACATGATTTTAATACTCGTATATTTGTCTACTATAAAATATTTTTACTCTTGAATCAGCACATTATTATTAATATTCTAGTTATATTTTACCTGCTCCCGAAGAGCATAATTAGAAAATTGTGACTTTACTCCTAAAGAATAAATTCTTGTATAACTTTCAATATTTCAGAAAAATATTGATATATTGATTTTAAAGAAGTAATAATAAAATACGATATGCCCTTGAAGCAGCACATACTTTGAAGAATTATATCTCGTTGTGTTCTTGAAAAAACACAAATAATTCAATACTGGCTGTAATTTTTAAAAGGAAAACAATTTTCTTATTTTATTAATATTCGAGAAGAATATTGATTTATCGCTCTGGAAGAGCATACTATTTGGTGTTTCAATATTCTCAAAGAACGATATACTATTGGAGAGCACATCGTTATAATTTCAATATTTTTAAGAAAAATATTGATATATTCTCCCAAAATAAGTAAAAATAATATATACTAGTATTCTTGAAGAATACGATATTGTGTTCCTAAAGAAGCACAAATTTATGCATATTAATATTTTAGAAAAATGCTATGATTAATTTAAATGTGTCAATATTTCTGAAGAATATTATCCTATCACTTGTAAATAATCATAACTAGGTATATATCAATATTTTAGAAAAATATTTATGTATTGCTCTTGAAGAAGCAATAATTAATGTGCTCTCAAAGTAGCACGTTTTCGAAGAATATATCATTTTGAATTTGTGTTTATCCCTGAATGAAAAAATACGACTTATGTCACGTGGACATCGATCATTATATGATTATATAATATTTAATCATATTTTTCGAAATTTAATAATTGGATTATATCTTATATTGAACTAGAAGTTCAATTTGAGTGGCATGACCAGTTTGAGTATCACTGGATCAACAATGATGCGAAATCAAAATGAAGAACTAGAAAATTCTTCGATCCAATAAATTTCTATGTATCATTTGTTCTCATTAAAGACAATTGATCATTAAAGGCCACTAGCTAAAATTGGGATTGAATTTCCTGTATATCTGAAAACTAATTAGGGTGATATATGGGGCCCGTCACTCACCACGTTGATCATCTAAATATTATTTATATATAATAAATTTGATATAAATACTAGATGATTGCATGGTATTCGCAACCTGAAGTTTGCGAAATTATTGTTTAAATTTTAAAGTATGAGCATAATTTTCAGATTAAATAATCGAAATCGTGTCTTGTTAATGCTAGTGCGTATAAATCTCAACATTTTAATGAGTGCTTTTTGAGATGTCGATAAATAATTTAACAAACTTGTTTGTTAAACGCCTCCAATTAATTAATTGAGAAAAATATATTTCTCATTTCCATTTAGGGAATTTTATTAAGTATATCGTCAATATCATAGTTCTCCCTACTAAAATTGGCTTATGGTCAGAGCCTAAATTTTCCATCTAATTATTTTGATAGTGCAGTATGTATAAAATTGATCCACCATAATGCACTGAGATGGAAAGTAATGAATGCTGAGAATAAATGCGTAGTATGAATCTTTATTACAAATGGTGATATTTTATAATGCAGTAAAAATATTTGTTAATTTAATTTGACAATTATCTCAACATTAGGGGAAGGAATTAAAAAGTTGAAAATAATGTATAAATGCACTATTATCTAAATCCTCGCAAAAGATCACTTGAACCAGAAGTTCGAAATATAATTTATTTAGATGCATTTACTGATCAAATGGATCAATAATATCTTACACATCAACTTCAAATGTTCCAACTTGAATTAACGTGACATAGGACAATTAATTAATATGATATTTGATGGTACGCCTGAAATGTGATGATATTCGATTCTAATACAAAAAATCTCCAAATGGAGCAATTAGCAAAGATGGTCTCATTGAGGAGGCATACACTCTTATGAGTATTTAGACACAACGGATTATAAAACCCCATAAGAGGTTCAAGTACCTGATATATTGAAAATTGAGATATCTCAATAAGTTATGTCATCATGGAGAAAGAAATAGAATTGAACAAGAAAAGAAAAGGTTGTCGACAACAGTTTTACACATGATGTGCTGCATCATATATTGATCGAAATAATGATTGGCCAAATAAAATGGATTCGACCCTAGTAAAATTGAACTTGCTAGAGAAATCTGAAATTTTTGGATATACAGTTAAAACACCAAGAGGTGTATAATTGTGCGAAATGAAAATAAAAAAAAAGTAAAGTCGTAATGTGAAATGTACGACTTTTTACATAATGAATTTCTTTAACACTTGTATAAATAGATTAATTATCATGTGGTGGATGTAATCACAGGTATTTATCTTGTTAGTGTGATAATGCATGAAATTTGATGTGCCTATATAAATGTGATTA